TCAACTTGGTCTTCAGTAAGTGCTTTCAGCTTTAATCTCTGACAGTCACCTCACTGTTGCTGCATGGTCAATGAAACTGTCGCTGTCCCTTTTTCACAGCTTCATACAGTTGTATCGATTGTTGTAATGCGATGCCTGGTCGCCGAACATCTCCGTTAGTCGGGAAACTGTTTCATCGAAGCTAAAATCCTGGGCAAAATGTAATTCATATACCTGTCGTGCTCCAAAATTCCGAGTTTACGTAACCGTAGCCGTAATTGTGATCCATCACCAAGATTTGCCAGTTCCACCTTGAAAATATCTTTGTAACGTCTGAACCATGCGTCAAAAATCAGCCCTGAAATAAAAATAAAAATGTGTCAGCTATATGCCGTAACGGCGCTTTCCTGCCGCGCGATCACCACCAGTCGCGCGTGGGCTGAGTATACCACGTGGACGCCCGTCCCTGCGCGGATTTGCACCGGTGACCTTATGGTTGCCTCTTGTTTATAGTACTGGAAGCTCGAGTGGAGCGCTCACTGCTGTTATCACACACACCGGACTCCGGTAATTAGGCTACGTGTTACGCATGACTGCCTACTGACTTCCGCGACATGGGTTGTTTGCACGCAAGGGATCTCGATAGAAAAAGTGGAGTGGAGACCATCCGATGGCTTGACAAGAGAAATGAAGATTCTTGCTTCGAAGCGAACCTAGGTTGGAGCCTCTCGACTTCCTGATTAGTTTCCGAAAAACTCTTAACACGTTTCGTTAGATGCACTTGTTCATAGTCATCAATATAATCATACACCTTATCTTAGGCAACCAGGTAGTATCTCGCCCTCTACCGAAACTATGGACATTGTTGTGCTGTTTTCCTTCTTCGTTTGAATTCCATGGTTTCTGATGGCATTATGTCTATTCGTAGACTTTTGCTTCTTCACCGCAGTTGGGCTAAAGCAACTTGCACGTAAACTAGGTCTTTTTAATGTGGATAAAATTCATTACATGTTATTTGGTTTGTTCTGCGCACTTGATAATCTTCTCCTTACTTGCACACGTCGCTCACGCAAATTGTGGTAAACTTGCGCAATTTTATCGCGTGGTATATTTTAAATAACTTTCGGACATTTTGTACTTAGCACGGATTCACTTATAACCAATTTCTTCTATATGCTCATTTAGCGAGTATTTATGTCGTCATATGCGTTTACTTTAATCGATATCGGCATTTTGAATGGTTGGCTGTTGTTTGACATCCCAGGTGTGGCTGCGCTTGATGTGCATGTTGACAAGGTGCCTACCTGTCTATTACCCACTACCTCGTCCATATTGGCTCCAGGAGACAGTTGGTCGTTGCTAGAGGGGACGGGGTGCACGGTCCTTGTGGTCGTGCTAGGCTCGAAGAGTGGTTCCATGCACTCAGTGTGGAGCGGACTACGGTCCAGCCACCGCCTTGTGTGCGGTTGATTCCCCAAATACAGCGTGCTTGTGTTTGTCTGTGAAGGAGTGTGGGCTGGCTCCGTTGATGAAACGTTGCTCCCATCCGCATGCCTCCCGGTCTTATTCCTTCGGGTTTACACTGGATATAAGGTGTGTGGATGGAGCTGTGGGTGGTGCAGCGCAAGTCATCCATGGTCCCTCTGTAGGCGTATGCGTCCTGTGGCTTGCCACAGTGACAGGCAAACCCGAAACCGGATGCCGCCAACCATATATATATATATATATATATATATATATATATATATATATATATATATACCTTAGCTAGAGGTGGGAAACATCTTAGCTTTTTTCCCCAATACATAAGAAAATAAAATAAAATATCCCAGAAGTGCACGTCAACTGATCTAACAGTAACGGATGGGCATCGTTCCAGAAAGTTACCAGCCGGCTGATATACAGCAATAATTACTACGCAAAATTTGGTTGGAGGGGGAGGCTAAAAAGGTTTTGGAGGGACAAAGAGACCCACAAAACGAACGCCACTGTGGCCAGCTTCCAGCCATGTCAGTAGGTATATCCAGCCAATACGTTCATTTTCTTTCGGATCCCAACTAGGAAGCCGAAAGGCTCCAATCGAGGCCAGCGTCCAAGTAAGCACCTTCATTGCTCTCGACCAAATCATTGCTTGGACACCGCTCCTCTTCCACTCAAACCCCCGGCGCGCAAACAACGCACCTAGCAGGATTTGTTGGGCTGGCATGCGCAACACTTGACTGAGCCATCGGAGCCTGATGCTTGAAATAACGGTGCTGAGCGATTCATTTCTTTTTCCAGTGTCGAACAGGCGTCGAACACGCTCATTGCTCACGCGTTCTTCCCACCATATATGAACCAAACTGCGAAGTCAGCGGTGGTCGAACGTAACTAGCATCCTTATGTCTGCTAATCTAATGAGCCGCTTTACAGCCGTAAAGGAGAGTTGGACGTACAGCTGCAGTGTACACTCTATCCTTCAGACCAAGAGTGATGCGGCGCCGGCGTCATATGTGGCGATGGTTAGCAAAAGCGCCTCGAGCTTTTACTATACGGTTCGTGATCTCGTCTTCGACCCCATGGACGCTGATACAACTTCTTAGGTAGTTGAATTTTTGAACGACTTCCAGCTGATTCCCGCCAAGATTCAGCGCACGCGATGCTCCCTACCAGTCGTGGAGGAAAGCCTTGCACTTCGATGGTGCAAGGTATAGCCCGAAACGGTAAACATCCAATGCTAATCTGTCCAGTGCAGTTTGGCACGTTTGTGAGCTGTCACAGATTAAGACAATATCGTCTGCATATTTTACGTTCGCTTGGGAGCGGCTCCACACCTTTTAAGTCGTGTTCTGTGTAACTCATTCTCCGTGATGTTGAAGAGGAAAGGTGATTGCGGGCATCCTTGTCTCACAACTGGAGATAGCGGAGGCGGAAGACGACAGCTTGCGGTAAGCCCTCACTGTGCCTGAGCTACGCGCGCATAACGCTCGTATAATATTTACTTATCTCACGATCCTGAGTAGACTGTCCCAAAGAGCACACCGATCCACCTTAATCGAATGCACCTTTGATGTCGAGGAACACAACAACTGTGGACCGCCAATCTATGTGACGCTGCTGAAAAATTGACGTAATGGGAAGATGTGGTCGATGCATCCCCAACCTCGACGAAACCCGACTTGCTCTGCATGAAGCTGGCTTTCACGAGTGCCAGTCAGTCTGTAAAGGATGACAGAAGCAAGCAATTTGGAGACGATGGAGATCGGACTGATTTCTTTATAGTAACCGCATTCCGTTCGTCAGCCTCTGGAAAACTGGAACGATAACGGAGCGACTCCAACCAGTTAGGACAGTTTCCTGCTCTTAGGCTTTCACTAGGAACTCGTGTAATTCATGCACGAGAGCAATTTCCACGAATTTGAAGATAGCTGGAGGAGGATCATCTGGCCACGCGGCTTTATTTACCTTCAGCAGTCCGATCTCACGTTTGACTTCTGAGCGAGAGGGCGGATCAAAAGGAACAGGACAGGAATCGGGGCGATCAGTAACCGACGAGAAATCTGACAATTCCGACTGATTAATTGGCCTTTCAGACTGATCAATCCAACGCTCCAATCGTTTTGACAAGTTGTGGATGGGCTGTCCACTCTCGTCCCCTATAGTTTCACTAGCACAATGTCTACTGCTGTCCGTTACCCGTAGCAGACGGAATAACTTCCGATGGTTACCAAGGGCAGCGGCAACTTCCATTTCTGACGCACGATGAGACTACCAAAATTCAGGATAGCACAGCGGTTTGCCCTCAAGTCTTTGCGAGTCACTTAATGCTCATTTCCAGCTGGTATATGCCGGCAAGCGTCGATAAGTTTGGGAGACTACGAAGAAACTCATTGTTCAGGTTGGTGATTAGACTTACCACAGGATTTTCCTGCTACTAGTAAGGTCTAGTGAACAGGAAAGCAATTGTATCCAATTGTATCCAATGAGCGCTTACTCAACTCGCATGTCAGCGTATTTTGATAGACATTCAGAACAGCTGGCTTCGCCAGTTGGCTGGTGTCAATGCGCTCACAGCGTCGTCGTGGGCGTCCGCCGAATGCATCCGCAGTCAGCCCATTCAAGTGCATGGTCGGGGTCTACATATGTACTCCAAATCGAGCGACAATTCTGGACGCAGCCTCTCCAACGGAAACTGATCGCATTGTGATCGATTTACGTTCATTGCTGGTCTGAAGCTGTTGCGCGTCATGCCTCCGGCGGATGCTGTGATGGAAATTAGTGCTCGCAAGAAATAAGCGAGCATCTTCACACCAATGAAGTAACCGCCCACCGTTATCATTGCGGGAGCCTACCCCGTGTTGGCCGCCCAGGTGCAGTTTATCAGTGGACAAAGTTGATCATAAAACGAAGAACCGACCTCTATGGCGATTTTGTTCGGAGTTTCTTTATCCCGCTTCAGCCACAGTCTTGTGCGTATTTCATTAACTCAGCAACATACTATGACTTTTCTGTTTTGCTTTGCTTCTATCGTTACTTTTTTCCTTCCCATTGTCATTCCCACCTAATTGATTTGCATTGTGGTTCCAATAGCTAATGTGTATAATGAAATGAATGTTTCATGAAAACCTCATCCTACTGTAGCTCTGTTGTGGCTGCGCAGTACGCTTTCTTTGCTGGGTAATTGCTCTTATTTTTACTTATCGTTATCGTTTTTTTGCAGTGTGACTCAGGGGACTGGATGTACCCACGTCTTTGCTTTTTCATAACTGGTCAATCCAGCTTACTTATTAGTCATGTTTGGAGAACACCTTAGTAGCATTTACTGTTATCCGCCCTCATGATCGTATGTTGTTCTTTAATCGAACCCGTCAGTTTCTTGCCTGTATATCGTTGTTGCGATTTTCATCCTCAATTGGTTCTGTTTCTTCTGCGAGACATCCGTTTTGCTTTTCTGTAGAAGCGATTTGTATTATGCAGCTACTGATTTTGAAGGGTTATTTTATATGTTTCTTTAAGTAGTCGTCTGTATTATCTGCTTCCAGTTCCTTGGATTTCGCTTACCGGCGGACGCTCACGAACTCTTTGCTTCCTACGAAAATCAACACAATAAGCTTTATGGTTCTGAAGGTACTGATCTTGCTGATTGACATTTGCATGTTAGAACGTCGGACGCGCTTCGGCGTATTTAAGTCTAACCTGTTGCGGATACAACTGATGCAGAAGCTTGATACCGGCACCGCTATCTATGGCATCTCGAAGTTCGCAGATTTGACGGGTAAGTCTTGTTAGATTACTTGGACTCATTTTTCTGTTTATAGAGAAAGAGTTCCAGAAAATTTATGCGAACATGAAGCGTCCACCTCCGCGGCGCGCTATTTCAGTTCCATCACATTCTGAGCCCAATCGCGTCTCACTTCCGCTCAGATTTGATTGGCGAACCAAAGGGGCTGTTACTCCTGTCAAAGATCAAGGGGCTTGTGGTTCATGTTGGGCTTTCTCTGTTACTGGTAACATTGAGGGACAGTGGTTTTTAAAGACCAATCAGCCGGTTTCGTTGAGTGAGCAGGTAACCCGCTGACCATTTTGCTGTCTTTGCATCCTTTGGTTGCTTCTCCTGCACCCCTAGGTAATGAAACTACTGTTGCTCATCTTTAGCGGTAATTTTTCTGTTTTATATACGGGCTGCCACTAAAATTTTGTTTTTACGTCGTTTTTGCGCAAAATATTTCCAGTCACTCTTGGCTTCCACAGTTTTGGTAGTTAGTCGCTGGCTGACCTACTTAACCGTTGCATGTGCAGTTGTGTTCCGTTCCAGTCGTCACTCTCGCACTGGCATCAACGACAAACAACCGGTATCCGTTGGTATGCTAAGTCTCCGTTTTCCCATCTGACATCATCTAAAAATGTAGCTTTGCTATGTATTTCAATTCATCTCGCTTGATCGAATATCTCCCGTATGCCAGTGTGCAGCGCATCTACCCATGAAGGGTGAATTTTCAGTTGTAACACATGCACGATCGAAACGGTGACGAAAAACAACAAATGTAACAACTGTAAAAAAGACGACTAAAACAATATTCCGTTTGTGGTACAGGAACACTAACATAAGTTGCTGTTTAATTCGTGAGTGATACTATTCGGAACAAGCAGAAATCTAGCTAAATAACGTATGACAAATGAGCCATGGGCCCGCGTGCGGGCATATATGGCTCTGTAGTTTCATCGTGTTGAGGAACTAGATTTGCATTTGGTTAACACGCTATGTAAACGATGGCTGATATCAGTGCGTATTTTCGAAGCAAGTTTTGGACATGAATTAACATGAACAGATACAATGTGTTAAACTATGGTTGGTTTAGAAATGCCGCTGCATCGAGATATGTGTTTCAGCGACCGATTAAGTAGTTTGAATTGCTTACCCAACAGGCCCGGAACGACCACGGGAGAACAGTAGGTTCAGTGTGATGGAGCGTATGTAATGATGAGTCACAGAATCAGCTGATGGGGAAACTGAGGACAACCGAAACCGTGAGGCCTAAAATGACAGTCGCTTGACTTTGGTGAATATTTCATTCAAATGAATTGAACACGGTAACTGATGGCTAAGTGTAATTCCCAGATACTTCACTGACGTCGAGAAGCTCAGGCTTTCACCGCTGATGGGAAGTTGGGGACAGTCAGCTACGAGTTTCTGGTAAAAATCTGCCTTATGCAGCGCAAACAGTACATTTTTGTACTTGGGAGCATACAGTGTTAAGCCGCGGGAGTTTGACCAATGAACGATTTTATCCAAACAACATTGTAGCACGGTCGAAGAGGCTGCAGTTAGATGATTCGCGCCGATTAGTACGTCTTTGGCTTATTTTGTAGGACTAGTATATACTAGTTCGAGATAATGTCCTTGCTCTGGTGCGCATACATAAAAACCGGTTGAACGGACACTGCGGGTTGTAATCGAGGTAGGCTACAATCGGACGAAAAACGGATGAAGCGACAAAAGCGTACGTCAGTCTCCGAACTCACCTGTTACACGGGTCATGAGCCGGACGTAAGTAAAAATGACCGTAGGGTCGGCATTAAAACAAAAACCAATAATGTACGATTGAGTAACAAATTTGTACATAACAAGATAAGAACTATCTTTTGGGTTGCTACAATTTTAGCTTTATGACTTATTCAGATACAGGGATGGAGCCAGGATAGGTAGAGAATAGTATTGGCGAGAAAATGGCTCGTTAAAGGACACTGGATGTAGTGGTGAGAGGCAAGGAGCTCATGCTTTTGAATCTGCTTATCTGAGTACGTTTGGCAAGAAGGCTGTGTATAATTGGATACCAGAGGCCAGGAGATCTTGCAACGACATCTCATGGTTAGCATAACCGAAGATGTTGGTTTAGTCATGGAAGCATACACATATGGCTTTGTTCTTGCTGTCTAGCGACGATAGCACTGACTGCACTAGACAAGCCACTGCGTCTTGTGTCGACCTCGAACTCAGGTATACATATTGATGTGCATCATTCAGACAGGATTGGGTTAGCAAATTTTTAGGAATGCGTTTCTCCGAGACCTTTAAAGCCACCGAAGTGCTCGCGATAGGTCGATGTTTATCTGTCACGCACTTCGGTATTAGCAGTTCTCCAACAGTCTGCGATCTTGCCTTGGTTTAGGCACATGGTGTACACCTCAGCTAGTGGTTGTGCTAGTGAATCTGCACGCTCCTTAAGGATGAAGGGAGACAACCGATCATGTCCGCCTGATTCGCTTGAGTTTAGCTGGGTAAACTTCCTGTGAAGTGATGCAACATCAACAACTGGTGATGAGTCTGTAGGCCACTGAATCTGTACAAATGATGAGTTGGGGAGTGAGTCACTGCTAGAGCAGCAGAAGTTGCGGTTTAATTCTTCTACGTCTGTGTCAAAGTTCGTAATGTGACGAGCGACTTTACTAAATTGTTTCATTATCTGCCAACTCTCATGACAATTATTGTTCCCCAGCATTGTCTTGACGTAAGCATGATTTAGGTAGTGAATTTCTTCCTTGATGCGTAGAGAAGGAAACTTTATTGAAACACGATCTTTAACTTTGAAGGATCTCTCCTCAAGTGGACGCAGCTGCTTGTGGAGTGGTGAGGAGAACTGGTCAGCACGAATGAGAATAGTTTTCATCGGATAACAGAGATCAAAACAAGAGTTCAGATAAATTATCATCCGGTCACAATATGTTGAGACATCTGCATCAAAAAACAAACTGACATCTGTAGAGGCAACCATTTCTTTTAGTTGTGTTATCTTGGGGGATTGGTTTGTCTCCGTTTAATTTTACGTTCCTTGCAGCAGGTGACTTCTTTGTGGTTCGTCTTACTGTAGATGACAGGAGATAGCTTGACTATCGAATGATGAGAGCTTTCAAGTGGTGCCCGAGTAATGAGTGAAAATATTTTCAGTTTGTTAACAAACACTAAGTCCAGGGTTGCTTCTAACCTAGTGGGACATTTCACCATGTTCTATAGTCCAGAAAGGCATTAACAGTAAATATACGGATGAACGGTATGTCCCTCGACAGTGCGAGGCATATTCCAACCGAATGGTCTAACTAATGTATGCTGATAAACAATGTTACAATTAATGATGCTACCATGAGATTATTGGACAGAAAAAATTGCTCATGTGCCTTACCCTGTTTTCCTCATCAAGTAAAACAAAAGGACCCATAGCTCCAACTTTGCGTATCGGTTAACTTCTTCACACTCTTCTTAGTCGCTTAATCGACTGACTTCTTCAGTGTCTTACTCATTTAGCTAACCTATTAGTCATCTTTTATGAGTAGTAGGGGAATTTATCGGGATATTTTCTAGCGAATCTATTGGTCATCAGTTCATGCCAGGGCAGCCGGCTTCCAGCTATGATCAGAACGTCTACTTCGGTATTTCTCTTTCGGCGCTCTTCCTTATTCGCGGGTATCGATGATCAAACACGACCCGTCTATTGTTTCCCTCACCACACAGTGGCTAATTCTCGGAATCAGCAAGCCACAATGGACGCATTGAAATGTGCACACTTCTTCCTTTGACTTGCATCGTGCCGTATCCATAGCTGACGGAGACTACGAGAAAACGCGAGTCGTAGCGATGCATATGATAATCTCCACGCCACACATTCTCCATAACAGTAGGTCACCACCCGGTGCTCAATGGTTTCCTACCGCCCGCCTCAAATTGTTGCAAACTCACCTGCTCGCACTTGTGATTGGCCTTGCTAAAATGTATGTTACTGGGTTCGCGGCCTCCGCTTCCCGATATGCCTGCCATTGCGGTTACCGTAGGACAACTACAGGGTGCCTACGCCTACAGAGGACCCATGGGTCGCTTGCGCTGCACCACCCATGGCTCCATCCGCACACCCCATATCCAGGAAGGAATAAGTCAGGGAGACATGTGGATAAGAGTCACGTTTCATCAACGGAGCCGACCCGCATGCCTTGAACATGCACAGCAGCAGCATTACTGTCTATATAATTTGGGACTCCTCATACGTACCAGATGTACACAACGCGGTGGCTGGGGCGTACTCCGCTCTACACTGGATGGAACCGTGCACCCCGTCTCCACAGCAACGATTCAGTCCTGTCGGACCAGTTATCGAACTGGAGCGTGATAGGACACTTTGTCAATATTCACATCAAACGCAGCTACACCGGAGATATTGAACAACCAACATGGAATTTGCAGGAAAATAAACGCGAAATATGCAGCCGAATAACAGAATTGAGCAACTTAAATAACGTGGGAAACTTTTTATCCAGGTTAACAATATCTAGTTTAAATCTAAGTCATTCTAGCCCAACTGCTGTGAAGAAGCACAATGTATGCAACATACTACGGTCGTAAAACGCATGTGAATTATTTTAACTCTTCAAAGACTATGTGTGACAGGTAGCAGATCCAAATGGGTCTCTGTAATCACACTTCCGAGCTGGGCTTGCTCCCCACTGCCTTGTGGCTCAGGCTAGAGGTAGTGCACCTTGAACTAAACCCCTGTCGATAATACTCTCTCTTCTCGTTTTGATTTTTCCTCTCCGCTCTCTTCTTCCCCATCTGTTGCGCAAGACTGCCACTGACCTGGCAACTGCTGCCATCGATACATGTTGTTCTTCCATCAAACCTAGAGTTTCATTTCACATTGGTTCTTTTAAGGTCTGCTCTCTGGTTCAGATCGGTTAAAAGGCAGTCTTGAATATCATTTTTTCAATTTTGGTATTGATGTGTGCTGTGTCCCCGAAACTCGCGTACAAAATAACAGGGTTGTGACGAATCCTCAGCTCTGGTTTTGAATCTGCTGTCAATGACTACACTCTTCGAATCTCTGGTAGTACTGAGTCGATGGCTCAAAGTATTCGGTGTTAGTATCGCCACCAGCAAGCATGCTGAAGGTAATCTACGCAACCGGATATCAGTGAACAGCCCTATGTGTGCGGTTCGACCCCGAACCTTCTTTCCTCTATTCTCCCCATGTTAGAAAAGTCATCATCCTACACGTTAGCTAGAGGTGGGGAACGCCTCAGCTT